ACAGGCACTAGAAAAATTGATGAAGCAAATGAAACAGTGAAGAAAGCTATTGACATAATAAACTATTTTGATCCAAATGTTTTCGTTGAAAACCCCCCAGACCGGACTTTTGAAGGAGCAAGAGTTTATGAAAAACTTCGTTTTTTGATGTTGATGGAATGGCATACAGAAAACGCACCAGACTTTGGACAAATATAAAAACTTGGACACCTAAACCATTATGTAAAAAGAACTGCGTACAAATGGAAGGGAATAGGCATAGGGAAACAGCACAAAGGGCACCTAGCAATAGGAAGGAAACATGGCCTGAAAACTTGAAAACTATACATTGTTCAATCAGAAGGAATTATACATAATCCCAGAAGAGTTGATCAGATAAATATTTATATAATGCTATAAACTAGATATTTACTATTCTAATTTCTTCTATGAGAGACCAATGGGGGATGTTCACCTGACCAATACTTAAAGGGATAGTAGCAATAGGTACCAAGGAGATGAAGGTGATAAGTTTGAGAATGTGTATTGTCAGGTGTGTGAGTGCAATGTGAGGAAAAGTGGATGGGGGAAGCATAAGAAAACAAATACGCATATTGAGAATGCTCAGGGTGGAGGTGAGGAAGTGGAGAAGAGAAGGTGTGGACAGTGTGGATGTAATAAGGAATTGGGAATGTTTAATGAAAAGAATGCGACTTGTAATGTGTGCTTAGACAGATGGAAAAGGTGGGTGGGGAGGAATGTTGAGAAGAAGAAGGAGATTGATAGAGCTTGGAGAGAGGAGTTTTTCTAATATGATCGGGAATATAGTTTGATTGAGATGTGGTGTGAGGTATGTGCGTGCAAGGTGAGAAAATGTAAGTGGAGAAGACATATTGAGAGTAGGAAGCATAGGATGGGTGGGGAGTGGGGATGATGGAAAAGATGGTGTGGGGGGAGATGGGGGAAGGGTGGTCAGGTGAACATCCCCCCTTGGTCTTCCCCTACTAACATATCTGAAAATGGAGAGAATATCGGACTCGCTCAATAGGATTACAGGATCACATCTTCTTCCGTGTTTCAACACCAGTAGAGGCCCCGATCCTTCCAATCATTCATGTGATCCATAGAAACGCATTCAAATCGCATGTTTAACTGTTGTGTTTGGCCCGAACTCCCCCACAACTGCGTCAGGCAACATCTATTTGATCGAGGGTCTTGTGGAAACTACTGATTTCTGCACTTATACAGTAATAGAGCTATATTGGACATAAACCCTTTTTTCATAAAAATATTTTAAAAAGTACAAAACAATAATACAATTCCATTTGATAAACTGATTTTTGTTTACACTATATAATTTACAAATGCTTTTTGCAAAGTAAAAACACTAAATTCAATTCTATTTAATAGAGTGACTCAGTGGCCTCCGGCTACTATTAAAAAAATAAATAAATAAAAACTATCTATTTTTTTACCTATATAAATTGATCAAATTTACAAATGCCTTTGGTATTTTTATTTCTTAATAGAATTTTATTACAATTCTATTTAATAGAGTGACTCAGTGGCCTGCGGCTATTTAAAAAGTTTGAAAAACAATAAACAATATTTTTTCTGTACAAAAGCCTTTTGTAAAGTAAAAATAGATAATTTGTAAAAAAAAATCAAAATCAATTCATTTCTTTAAATTTACAAATGCCTTTTGTAAATAAACAAAAACAATACAATTCCATTAAATAGAGTGACTCAGTGGCATCCGGCTATTAAAAAAAATAATAAATTAAAAGAAATAGATAAAATCAAAAAAATAGATCAAAATCGATCTATTTTTTATTTACAAATGCCTTTTGTAAATTAAAAAAATTCAAAAAATACAAACAATAAATCAACATCTATTAAACATTTAAATTACAAAAACCTTTTGTAAATAAAAAACAATTATAGTTAATAGAGTGACTCAGTGGCATCCGGCTATTTAAAAAATTCAATAAATTAAAACAAAGTAAATTACATCAAAAAAATAAAGCAAAATTGATTTATTTTTTAATTTACAAAAGCCTTTTGTAAATTAAAAAACAAAATCTATTAATAGTTCAATTTACAAAAACCTTTTGTAAATAAAAACACAATTATAGTCAATAGAGTGACTCAGTGGCATCCGGCTATTTAAAAAATTAAATAAATTAAACAAAATAAATAAAATAGAAAAAAATAAATCAAACTCGATTTATTTTTTAATTTACAAATGCCTTTTGTAAATTAAAAGCAATTAAAAAAATAAAAAAAATAAATCAAAATCTATCCAATTTTTAATTTACAAACGCCTTTTGTAAATTAGAAAATAATAAATAGAATTAAAAAATAAAGCAAAATCTATTTTTTTTTTCCA